CCTCGCAGCCACGAGCCAGCACGGCATGACAAGGGCCCCCATTTAGCAACGCTTTGAAGTACTCTATGTTTAAGCTACTCCCGTTAGCTACAGGGCGTGGGGTGGCCTTCATCTAGCAGCAGAGGTCGCAAACGGGTTTTGATTCCTTACCCGTACCCGGCCGCACCAGGATCGAAAACGGGTACCCGTACCCTACCCGATACCCGGCTACCCGTACCCGCCGGGTATCGGGTAGGCCGTGAGTCACTGGTGAGTAACCGTTTGTCACTCATTTCGGGTAGGGTACGGGTAGGGAACGGGTACCTGATTGCGACCTCTGGGATGAAGCCATGTTGCAGGCGCGGGTGGGTTGATTCTAGGGACTTGAATTGTGAGACAAGACGTTGGGAAATGAGTGACAAACAGTGACTCACCAGTGACTCACGGCCTACCCGTACCCGGCCGGGTACGGGTAGCGGGGTATCGGGTAGGGTACGGTATCGGATACCCAGTTGCGACCTCTGTCTATCAGTGGATTGTCAAAATGGGCTATAGATCATTCTGTGCCCCTGACTGTAACCCTGACCCTCTCACTGACCGTTATCCTCACCATATAGCCCTTGACCTGACTTAACTCTGAACCGAACCCTGAGCTTAACACCAAGCCTAACCCCATAACCAAAATGTCAATATTCCTTTTTCTAGAACCATCGGTGGAAGTTCCACATTCGCGTGACGGGGCCAGTTGGAGCACTCTTAATCATGTTATTGGGGCCCTAAGCGAGATGAAGGGGCTGAACTTGAGCGTGGCCGAATTAATTAAATGGTTTCCCCTCGACTGCCTTAAATTACTTGTGCGGAATTTTCCACCATAACATATGACTAAGTCACCAGGGAATGTGCCTAATCTCCACACATCTCGGAAGCTAAATACGGTTGAGCTTTCGATAAAATTCTTGGGCGATCGCCGTGCACAGCGGTGTGTTGTTATAGGCTGCCGCGTGGCTACGTTGTTGGCGTCAGTGGAAGTGTGGCAAAATCCATTGTACTGCACTCTCTATGCTCTCGTATGTCCGTTCACTTTCAGCAAGCCCCACTGATCAGCGTGGTTAAGTTTGTTAATACAATATTTAAAAATACTTTATAAAAAAATACGCTTAATGAAATGTACCGTACTCATAATGGCAGAACTCGACGACTTCAGGAAGTGGCCCCGAGCTTGCCGTGACGTAAGGGACCGTGGTGATTTACAGCCAACGTGAGTTGAGCGTGGACAATTAGACCCGTAAAAAGATTGTTAAAAAAATATTTTTTTTTTATGATAGAATATAGTATTGTCATCTGTATGACATACCTCTACCAAGTTTGCAGTAGATACGACATTGGGAAGACGGTTGAAATTGAGTTACAAGATTTGAGGATACGACAACAGACAGTGAGTTAAACAAAAGCGTGTAAAATGTTTAAAAATTTATTTTTATTTTTTTATGATAGAACATAGTCTTGTCATCAGTATGACATAAGTATACCAAGTTTGCAGTCGATAGCACATTGGGAAGTGGGTAAAATTGAGTTACAAGATTTTTTAAGGATACGACGACAACAGACGGATTGAGTTAAATAAATTAAAAGCGTGTAAAAACAAGCGCCCGTGACTGCCACGGCGTGGGCGATGCCCTCATCCAGCAGCAGAGGTCGCAACCGGGTACCCGACACCCGTACCCTACCCGATACCCGGCTACCCGTACCCAGCCGGGTATGGGTACCCGTTTGCGACCCTGGTGTGGCCGGGTACGGGTAGGCCGTGAGTCACTGGTGAGTAACCGTTTGTCACTCATTTTGGGTAGGGTACGGGTAGGGAACGGGTACCCGTACCCGGCCGGGTACTGGTACCCGGTACAGGTACCCATTTGCGACCCTGGTGCGGCCGGTACGGGTAAGGAAACAAACCCGTTTGCGACCTCTGTCCAGCAGTGCCTCTCACTGGCCATCTGACCGTAGCCCGAAACCTGATAGTGACCCTAACTTTACCTGTGTCACCTAACCCTGACTCTAACCCTGTGAAATCAAAAGTCATATCTCCCTTCCTAGATCCATTGGTGAATTCCACATTCCAACGGCAGGGGCCAGAATAGCCATACTTGTACGTGTTGCTGATCCCAAATTTGTATCCACATAGTCTCTTAAATCTCATCCAGTTTGTAACTAATGATGCAGATTCCAGAAGTTTCTGTGACGAATTTCGATTTAAGCTTTCGTGACTGCAGGGATTCATCTTCTTGGTTCTTTCGGTAAAGTCGCGTAGAAAGGAAATAATAAAATAATAAAAATAGAACATAATCAAATACAATTCTCACGACGTTTCGGCCACAGACCTGCTCTTCACCTGAGGACCTGAGGACGGCTGCTTGCGTTGTGTGGCCGAAACGTCGTGATAATTGTATTTATTATGTTCTATTTTATTATTTTATTATTTCCCTGCTTGCGTTGTGGCCGAAACGTCGTGAGAATTGTATTTTATGATGTTATATTTTTATTATTTTATTATTTCCCTGCTTGCGTTGTGGCCGAAACGTCGTGATAATTGTATTTTATTATGTTCTATTTTTATTATTTTATTATTTCCCGCTTGCGTTGTGGCCGAAACGTCGTGAGAATTGTATTTTATGATGTTATATTTTTATATTTTATTATTTCCCTGCTTGCGTTGTGGCCGAAACGTCGTGAGAATTGTATTTTATTATGTTCTATTTTTTATTTTATTATTTCCCTTCTATGTGACTTCTACGTGACTTTACCGAAAGAACAAAGAAGATGGTCTGTGACGGTTGGAAATCTAAAAGTCGGCACAATATAGTTGTGTTTAGGGGTCGCACGGTTTGAACCGACTCAACTGGTTTCAAATTGAGCAAACCAAACCAAACCAGCGACGACTGAACCAAACCAAACCAAACTAAGCTAAACCAAACCTCTTGAGTTGGCTTGAACCGAAAGATGCGCGGCAAACATATTCGCATTCAATACAAATATCAAGTGTATTACTCGCTAATTTCTACGCAGGCTTTCTTCATATTGAGATTCACTAGCAATACTGGACGACGATGTCGTCCCAGCCATCTCCTCAAGCTTGGCACCCCAATGTCCTTGAACGCAGTGTGGTAGTTCAATGGCAGTGAAACCCCAACACTAGGCAACATCCGCGCCCACGAGCGCACACACATCTCGGCCTTGAACGTGCACTTGTGCAGGTTTGGTCGGTCGAGAAAGGAGCGCTTGGCGGCCGAGTTTGCTCTCTCGGAGGGCACGGACGACGCCGGGATAGGCAAATAGTCGAGGGCCACGCGTCGCAGGCGCGGGTACTTGCCGCCGTACAGCTTCCACCACTCGACGACGTCCATGCTCAGGTCCTGAGTCGGCTCAAGCAGGAAGCGGTCGACCTCGGAGGCGGCGCCGTCGTGAGCGTTGGGCGCGTAGACCATGTCAAAGAGGATGTTAATGCCGCCACGCGGCGCCGCCTTTGGCGCCGCGTCCGTCGTCAACGCTGGGTAGCGCTGGTTGAGAATGTCCGTCATCATGTCCTTGATATTGCTGTACTCGGCCTTTACAACCAACCAAACTAGTTTGAGCCGGTTCCACCCTGTCCGAGCCAAACCGAGTCGGTTTTCGTAGCCCCAAACCAAACCGAACCAGTTCAAACAGAGCCAAACCAAACCGATTTGGTTCGGTTTCAAACCGCGGTTTGGTGGTTTGAGCCAAACCGTGCCGACCCCTAGTTGTGTTAAGTAGACCGATCCAAAAAACATGTTTTTTATTTGGACCCCCCCCCCCCCCCCCCACAATTTCCCAACAACAGTTATACAATTCCAGCTTGAGTGGAATGTGAAGTCACCCATGACTTTGTGGCAATAACAATTTGGAATCTTGTGTTGACATGTAAACATTTGTACGTGTGTGTGTATGGTCGTTTTGTGCTCGATCACCTTAAAACAACCTCTGTGTGGCTGTAGGGGGGGGGGAAAACAGTGACTGTTATATGCTGTTAAGAAAAGTAAGTGGGCTTGGGACACGGACTCGACATCGAGACTCGCTACGGGTGTGACAGACAACGAGAGAGAAAAACGCCTGACCGAGCGTGCGTTTACCGCAGAGCAGAAGTAATCCGTTCACCTTGTGGCAGCAGCTAGATCGATTGTTGGCCTTTGTCCAGCATGGGTAGAGCATGGCTGGTGATTACATTGACGGGTGCCAGCGGCTGTACAGTGTTTAGCGCATTGCGTTACGTACCCCCAGCGACCTTGCTCGGTTTGTCAGCCACGGCCAACATCAGCGTGAGTGATATCGG